AAATGTTTTAAAATGTGTTGAAATAAATATTTTATTAAACATCGCTGCAAAATCATCAACAAAATAAACTGTCACAGGAGGGCTAATAATGTTTGTCTTCAATTGTACATATACTACATTCAACTTCTCCTAACATTTCAACTTGACAGTAGTCATGGGCAGGTATAAGATTTTAATGGTTTGATAACCTTGAATAAAAACATCACTATATCATGGTATAATGATTATGGCTCTAAAATACGTCATTTTTTTAATGTCTTAGTAAAAAACAAAAACTTTTTTCTCCTTTGAACACAGTATATTTTATTTTAGGAAACATTTATAATATTTTGGAACAGTGAACATGTCAGGCTTAATAATTAAAATAAATCATTGACTTCTGGTGTCTTCATTAGTTTCAAAAACACTGATTTATTTACAACACAAAAAAAGCATTTAAAAAAAAAAAAACTTTTCGTAGAAACGGCATAGAACATTTTTGTGGTAATACCTTGACTTTTCCTCTTACAATCATAAGTCACGATTATAAACATAGCTCAGCTCTCCAGGAGACCCTTCACTGTGTTTCCCAGGCTCACCCTATATCCACCCAGTCTAATTTATGTTTCTCCGTTCCCTTTGCTGTGCGTTGTCATAATGTCAGCATGAGAAGCCTGACTGTAAATTACAGGCTTGAACACTTTCACTAACCTCAACTCATAATACATCATTCCACTTAAACCCTTTCATAGACAAATCTAACAATGGCCACATGTTCATAGTTCTGATTTGCACGTGTCTCTCAGGGTTCTCTGGTCTGCTTTCGGGTGCTCCAGAGGGGCCACAGGGGCATCACTTTCTCAGGGTCTGCTGGTGCACTGGCACTGGCATGGCTGCTAGAGTCCAGCTGGGTCTGAGATGGATGGCAGAAAGGGTTGCATTGACTGAAGTGTGGGAACAGGGGCTGTATGTGCTTCTCTAAAATCTGTGACTGACATCACAACCCGGCTTTGTGTGATGACATCATTCGCAGTCTGGACATATGAGAAAAGAGAGCTTTACTTTTTTAAGTGCTCATTGTTTTAATGAATGTAGTCCCCATTCTGAATGCTATCAAAAAGGGGAACACCATGGTGTTGTTGAGTGATCTTTTCTGTCGCTCTCTACACTTTCTAAAGCTCTTAATTGTGATTTAATCCAGCAGACACCACTAGAGGTCAGTATTCAATACTTGCTGTGTCTGTATTTGCAATCCACTGGAATAAATGTATCAATGAATTCCCATGACCACACATCATAAAAAGATATTATATATCCTAATACTTTAAAAAATGACATATATAATCTGAAGAATAATCAATCTACAATATGTGCTAATAATTTTAGACCTTTCACAAAGATTCTGTGCTCAATGCACTTGTTGATATTTTAAATCATTTTGATCCTTTTTTCTTTTTTTATTTTATAAAAGAAGAGCTAGAAATTCCCACAGTGAAATTAAAATAGTTGAAATTTGACTTTTTTTTTGTCTTCTGAACACTAATGAGCATAAAAACATTTTTACATTATTTGATCAATAAGTCATTCTTTTACTTACTTTTAAACATGTTTTTTATATAGGATTCAACTCAAAGGTTTGGTTCACCCAAAACTAAAAATTAACTCATCATTCACTCTACCATGTGGTTTTAATAAGTTGCTTGTGTCCTTATGAGTTTCTTCTATTGAAAACAAAAAAAGATATTTGGAAGAATGCTGCTTGCTGTGTAACCCATATGTGTAACTTCCATAGTAGGAACAAAATACAATGGAAGTGAATAGTTCCCAGAAACCAGCATATTTCAAAACATCCAAACATTTTTCTAAATCTTCTTTCATGTTCAACAGAATAAACTGAAATAGGTTTTTAACTAGAGAAGGGTAAATCTATCATGGTAGACTTTTCATGATGGGGTGAACTATCACTAATGTTTTAAATGAGTTTAATGACTTTAAGTTAATTTCATTTAATTTAAAGGTTTAAGGCACTAACACAATTTTATTAACTTGCATTTGTCTTTGTTGTTTTATATTTACTCATCTTGTGCTTTTGTGATATCATGGCTTGTTTTTGAGTTGTTTATTTCTCAAAAAAAATGTTTGACTTTTTGGGGTCATTCATTTCTTTTCTATTCAGTGATGAGATTTACAGACTGCTTTTTAATGATACTTTAAGCACTATTTTTAGCTGGATTAGCTTCTCTGATGGTCTTGATAACCACACTTTTTAATGTACTAAAAATATTTCCTAAACATTTAGTATAAAGAAATATTGGGAAAAACACATTTTTAAAAATACATTTACATCATATGATTATATGTGGGCGACGCTGTGACGCAGTAGGTAGTGCTGTCACCTCACAGCAAGCTGGTTCGAGCTTCGACTGGGTCAGTTGGCTTTTTGTGAGGAGTTTGCATGTTCTCCCTGTGTTCACGTGGGTTTCCTTCGGGTGCTCCGGTTTCCCAAACAAAAACCAAAAACATGTGGCACAGGTGAATTGGGGAAGCTAAATTGTTCGTACTGTATAAGTGTGAATGGGTGTGTATGGATGTTTCCCAGAGATGGGTTGCAGCTGGAAGGGCATCCACTGGGTAAAACAAATGCTGGATAAGTTGCCGGTTCATCCCGCTGTGGTGACTCCAGATTAATAAAGGGACTAAGCCAAAATGAACGAATGAACGAATGAATGAATGAATGAATGAATGAATTAATTAATTAATTAATTAATGAACGTTTTCTTGCACAGCTGGATGCTGGACTCATGAAAATTAATGGTTTGCGTTGTGCAAAACTATTGAGTCACACCAGAGAGACAGCCAACAAAGGATTCTGCTTGGTCTTAAAGCCTTTTTCAATGGGTTATTTTGACTATTTATGATGTCATAGCAGTTAAAATTAGACCAATGAGGTCATGTATAGGATAAATTTGGGCCTTTGTCAGTTAGCGATGGGTTTTTTTGAACCATGAACCCCCCTTGCTATGGGCCTGTATGTCTTTGCTCTATGTTGTGTACAGTCAAACCACATCAGTGATAGCTTAAAAGCAGAATGAATTCCATCATTTCAGAGGTCTTGGACATGTTTCAGATGATAGCATGAACTAAACTCATAGTATAATTTAAGATTTCCTCCAGTTTAAGCAATACAAGTTAGCTTAAAGGCTTTATGCTGCACTCATAGAGTCTAGCTTTTCAATTATATTTTAGGCTATGTTAATTTATCTTAAATAAAATATTTCATTGTGGGCAGCACGGTGGCGCAGTGGGTAGCACAATTGCATCAGCAAGAAGGTCACTGGTTTGAGCTCAAGTTGGGTCAGTTGGCATTTCTGTGTGGAGTTTACATGTTCTGGGTGCTCTAGTTTCCCCCACAAGTCCAAAAACATGTGGTACAGGTGAATTGGGTAAGCTAAAATTGTCCGTCGTGTATGTGTGTGAGTGAGTGTTTATAGGTGTTTCCAAGTGATGAGTTGCAGTTGTAAAGGCATCCGCTGCGTAAAACATATTCTGGATAAGTTGGCGGTTCACTCTGCTGTGGTGACCCCAGATTATTAAAGGAACTAAGCCGAAAAGAAAATTAATGAATATTTTATTGTTCCTGAACCATGTGACACAGGGACTCAGTGGTTAGAACTGTCCCCTCACAGCAAGAAGGTTGCTGCTTCGAGTCCCGGCTGGGTCAGTTGGCATTTCTGTGTGGAGTTTGCATGTTCTCAACGTATTTGTGTAGAAATGGCTAATAATTTTGAGCTTAAATTGTTTTATAAAAAATTTAATTGCTTTTATTCTGGCCGAAATAAAACAAATAAGACTTTCTCCAGACGAAAACATATTATCAGACATTCTGTTCAAATTTTGTTGCTCTGTTAAACATCATTTGTAAAATATTTAAAAAAGAAAAAAATTTAAAGGGGGGCTAATAATTCTGACTTAACTGTATTGCGGTCGTGATTTTTGAAAGTATTACAGTGCTTTGTAAACGTTTATTATTACCAATTTAAGAGTCTCCCTATACAGTTTGATAGAGCGCTTGGAACCAAAAGCCCCTTTGCGTGACATCACACTTAACAAGCGGATTGAATAAGCTAAATTGGTCATATAATGTATGAGTGTGAATGAGTGTGTATTGATGTTTTCGGGTATTTGGATGTAGCTGGAAGGACATCCGCTGTAAAACATATGCTGGATAAGTTGGCGGTTTATTCCACTGTGGCGACTCCTGATGAATGAGGAAAATGAATGAATGAATAAATGAAATTGGCTCTATAGTGTATGTAGGGTGTGAATGCAAGTGTATGGGTGTTTCCTAGTACTGGGTTGTGGCTGTGTAAAACATATGCTGGATAAGTTGGCGGTTCATTCCGCTGTGGTGACGCTTAATGAATAAAGAGACTAAGCCGAAGGAAAATGAATGAATGGTCAGGTTAGCTCAGTTTCCATTCTTGATCATTGTTGAAAGCCTGCTTGATTTCTGCGCATTATTTTTTAATGGGCTACATTTTATTGAGCAGTTCTTGCCCTTGTACATCTGAATAGATACTAGGCTACGTCTTGGTTTTATCACGCAAACATTTAATCAGTCATTCAAGAAAAAAGAACATGCATAATGAAATTAAGCCTGAAATGTTTACTGTGGACAACAGTGACGCCCGTATGAAGCCTTACCTCTGTATATAAAACCTAAACTTACGCGTGTTGTCGCAGTAAAATAACGTCAGTATCTATTGACTGTGTGCTTCCATTATAATCTGAGTCAATGTGTGTGTTACTAGTTTTTCAGTCACATCTACAATGTGTTCTGCCGTAGAAAACGTTTTGTAACCGCTCCGCCTGTCAGTGCGCGTTCAGTGTAATCAAATGACTGGTAGATTGTGGGTTAACGGGCCGAGTTCTCCAGACGGGGCGTGGCCTTCGACTGCGAGAGATTTGATTGGCTGCCAGTCACAGTTACATGGACTCGGGTTTAGTTCAGTTTACGTGACGCACGAGTAGAGGCGTGTCATTGGCGAAATCAGCTGTAGAAACAAAAACACACCAACGAACGCCCCAAAATGAGAGCTTACCTATAAATATCAGTAATTTCAGGAAAAAGAGGCACCGTTGAGAGTGTGAGGGACAGATGTAGCACACTTCACGGTTGAGCTTCTTCACTGCATCCTGCAAACTTGTTTCAGGGGATTTCTTTCAGCTCAGCAGAGAAAGCGAGTGTGAAGATGCTGCCTTTGTGTCCGCCGTGAGTGACACGCCAGCGAGTTGAACACAAAAGAGTCGAGAGTTTTATAGAGACGTCTCAGTCATTTGAAGGTTTAATCTGATCTCCTGCACCCGGTTTAACGGGAGCCGGGAGGGAACCACGCGCAGACTGGCATGTGGGTCAATTCTGGAAGCGTCGGAAGGTAAGGCGGAGAAATTTCAGTTTGTTTCACCTCTCGACAACAATGCAGCATTAATATGCAGACTCTTGTTTACTGTGGCGTTCTGACACTGAGCACAACATCAAAACTGACTAGTAAAAACACAGACAGTAACCACCGCCCATCCTCAACGCTTGATGTTGGAATCGTATGGCAAGCCGTTTTATCACGCGTGCATTCATTAATTCATTCAAGCAATTCATGCTAGTTCTCATTCATTCTTATCCTGATAGACCCGACAGAGTATGCATGTATATTTTATTTACTGACTAGTATGCATTCACGTAGTGCCGAGTACTCACCCATCCTAACTTAAACTTCTTCCAGTTTCTTTGTTAGCTAATAGTAACAAATTCCAGAGTCAAAAGTAAGAGTGCAAGTAACAAACTGTGGCTCACAAGTCAGCTATATTGAGGTAAAATTGCTTTTGTATTCGCACAATCGTTCATTTTAATGGTCCCTATATTGTTTACAGTGCTATATTAAATACTTGCTCTGAAATCACATTTATTTATGACTTCAAAACAACATTAGCACAGTTTAATTGACTGTGAACAATGATGTACTTTGATAGTCATGGGTTGTTAATATGATTTCCCTATTTAGAATTTACACTGAATACTTTTCTGATAATATAGGATAAGGGAGAATGTCTGAATGTTCAAATATAAAACCAATTTTACCTCAATGTCAGCTATTTGCGGTTACTGTTTAGTATTATTCATCCTGTATGTATATTTTAGCAGTTGTTCCTCAGTTTTTAGTAACAAAATTACTGCTTTATACTCTTATAGCAAAATATATCCGGCCCAGCTCTGACCCACTCAATCAGCTTTTGCTTGGCAAACATGCTGCAATGAATTACGGTACATGACTGGACCTAGTCTGGCTTCTAGACAATAACCAAACATGTACCATATTTGGGCCAAGTCTCAGCCAAGTTAATGATCCATAACTGAGCTTGAACTGGGCCAGATATTTTGGTGTGGCACAACTGTAATGAAATTGATAAACCCATGAATCATTGATTTATGGCCCACATATCACTTTTTAACATCTAGGCCAAATGCTACTGTATGTTTTACATTTGGCCCAAGTATTGTGTGCTGCCTTAAAAACGGTGCCACCTCTGCCAAACCAGGGGTATGTTTGGCCCACAGGCTGTATGCCAGTGCCGGATGAATGCCTGCTGTGCCAGATTTATACCAATTCTGGACCAGAATTATTTGATAAACAGGTATAGTTATATTAAACTTGAGTCTAAAATGTTACTAGCAATTAATAATTACACCATAGACCTACACAAATATTTTTTATACCTTGATGCTGCTGAAGCTGTCAAAACTGGATGTGACAAACAAACATCTTTCCAACACTTCAATAATTTGTTACATGCATCAATAGTATTTGGAACTCTAGTGCTAATGTGCAAATATTGATAATGCAGGCCCTTACATTAGATCATGTGATCAAACGACTACTCAACATGAGTATTTGTCTGCAATCTTTTAATGGTTGACTAATCATTTCAGCCCTACAAAGCATTTTGTTTGGATAATGTGTATTTTACAATAAGCAGTAATATAATTGAAAAAGAGGGGTCATTTGGCGTTTCTGTGTGCAGTTTGCATGTTCTTCCTGTGTTCGTGTGGGTTTCCTCCGGGTGCTCCAGTTTCCCCCACAGTCCAAAGGCATGTGGTATAGGTGAACTGGGTAAGCTAAATTGGCCAGTGAATGGGTGTGTATGGATGTTTCCCAGTGATAGGTTGCAGCTGGAAGGGCATCCGCTGTGTAAAATATATGCTAGATAAGTTGGCGGTTCATTCCCCTGTGACGACCCCAGTTTAATTAAATGAATACATGCATAAATGAAAAAAACTGTCACTAATCACCATGAAATAGTTAAAAAACGAGCTGTTTTAACAGGAGCTATTCTTAAGGAATAAATGATAACTGGGCTTGCCATAGGAAGCGTGTGTGTTTGTATCATGCCTCGGCTACTGAAACTCACAGCCTCTTTGATGTTTGTCAGTTCATTGCTATGCATCCTCTCAGTCTTCACAGTACAGGATTTTATTTGTGCATGTATACCTTTACCGCTGCACACTCTGATTTGTCGGCGATCACGGACTCGGCTCTTGTTTTCCTGGATCTTCCTTTGTTTCTTTGTGTTCAAACTCAAATTTCATTCACTGGCAGTCCGTTTTATTCTAAGGCGAGAAATCCTATTACTGCGGGAATTCACTACTGGTTTATGTTTCTCAATGAAGCACATTCTCAATGGGTGCTGAAATAAGGCTACTTAGAAGTATGAATGGGGGGTTTGTCAGTGGCCGCCCCTACACGTTTACACAATTTCGTTACACCTGACTAGCCACAGAAAATTTGTTGAGCATTCCAATACTCTGAAATTAAGCCATAATGCATTTTTAGCTTGTTTGTCACATTGCAGGCCAAAGCCAAGTTCTCCCACTAATGCTATTCTACAATCTCACTGACACTTTGTCCATTGTAATCTAGAAGCAAAGTGAAGCGTTTCATTCTCCTGCTGATTCAGCATGCATTGTTTTATGATGTGACTGATATATCACTTGGCGGCAATCAGCTGCTGCTACACCCTCTTTTGCAAACTATAGTGAACATCCTGCTTTGTCATGCCGTATAGAACTTAATGACAATAATTGTGGTATGCTTTTCTCAATTGCTGTGACTCACAGACTACTATACTACTTCTAACCTAATTACCTTACATTTGCACACACTCACGTTATCTAAAAATATTTGACCAAAGTGAGATGGTGATAATAATAAAACAAATATAGTAAAACAAACACTGCACGATCATTCACAATTAAAGTGCATTCAGATAAGCCGCAAAAAAATACACTTTGGTTTTTGCATTTGTGCATTTAGAACTGAAGTCTGGGGATTCTGCCTTTCCTTTTTTTTTCCATGGCTGGCTTTTATGAGTCTCTCATTGCTGAGTTGGTTCTCAAGGGTAAAGGTGCGGTTGTATTTATAGTGCACATGACAGCTTAGGTCCATAGGACTCATGACGCTGCTCTAGTCCATGTGGGTCACTGTGCTAAATAGTTAAAGTCTTGCTGAACACTTAATTTAGTGGTTACTCTTTTATGAATAAGCTTGACTTGTGTACATCTCTCTGTGCAATTGCTTCAAATTGTTGGTCATTCTTGCTGACATGAACCTTTCAAACAGTGCCAAAATATGGTAATTACGATTTCATAGCACAAAAATGACTGAGCTAATCCTAAAGGGGTGAATTAATTTTACATTTTGTGGAAAGAACAATCTGTAGTATATATTATACAGGGCTCAGCATAATTGAGTACAACTCATTTTGAAAATGAACATTTTTGTCAATTTTTCAGTGAATATAGTGAATGTATTTTGGTGCATTTAAACAAACAACAGATTTATTAAAAAGATATATTTAATAAAATAATATTTTAGTCACCAAACATATTTAGAAACTGAAAGATAATACAATAAAATTCAAGCAAAATATTGCAAAAATAAATTACAACCTACAAAATTTCAACTAAATGATTCCATTTCTTTTTTTCTTTTTTTTTTTGCTTCTCTTGATTTTTTTATTTTGTTTAAATGTGTATTTAATATTTTTTCTTAACATAAATTTGGGTGTACTAGTTTTTGGACCATTAGTGTAAGTTATTTGGTTAGATAAGCTCCAGATTTGGCTTCAGTACTGATTAATCTAATGTACATATATAATATTATATAGCTTCTTATTAAAATATGAATTTAAAAAGATTTTTGAGGCGTGTACTTGTATATGCTAAGCACTGTAACTTTAACTATATTTAATATATAGAGGTCAGTGATTAAAACCATTATGATAATGCAAGTTATTTTTTACATGCTATATTTTAGTAAGTTTAAGTGTTTGGTCAATATCAGAACAGGTAATCTTTCAGTTTTATCATTATACATGGTGTTGCAGTTTTGATCATATGTATAAATAAGTGATAGAAACAGATAATTTTTATTATTTTGAGTTCAAATGTAGACAGATCATTTTACCATGGTGACCTCTGGTAAAAAAGCAGAGACTAATCTGAAGGAAAGAGAGTGAGTTCAAATTTTGTTATTTGGATTATTTTGTTCATATTAAAATATGTTTCCCTACTTATTATAATTCTGTTATTATCTAATAACACTTGACAGAAAGTTCTTGACAGAAAACATAAAATATTAAAAATATTTTATGTTTATTTGAACAATTGCATTTTACATTTTAACAAGCTTTTCATTATCACTTGGTTGGATATATTGTAACATGCAAAAACATTGATGCAATAAATGTTACTTAAGCAGGCACTTTCTATAGCCAGCCACAGCAAATGTCCATATTATCTCACTGAAACAGCTAGTACACACTGACACAGTCAATCTCCCAGTGTTTTAGTGGTTAATTCCTTCACTGTTGCCCATTGACCGATGGCATTAAAGCAAAAGATGTTGCTCATTGTCTGATCTGAAGGACTCAGCACTCTGAACGACTTCACGGCTCGGCTATAAAATGTCATTGATCCACTAAGAAACATTGACTCCTTGCAGTTTAAAGGCATGTGGTGTAAAACGTCTCAGAGGGGCTGTGCTGCGGTAGTACATTAGTTACCTCTGTATTTACTAGACGACTACCTGACATGTTTTTCCGAAGCATCTGGATATTTGGAAACTCCATCAAATTTGGTGTGCTGCAAAATGATGCTCCACTTTAACCTGTTTACTAGCTGGCGGGAGACCACCATGTTACATAAGTAGTCTGCGCTCATAGCACAGCCTGTCTTTACACATCCTCTTCATAATCACTTAAAAATATGCCGTTTTAAACAGCCATCCAAACACGCACAAGGTGAAACGCTTGCCATGATGCATTGATAGATGCTAAAGAAATTAGGTAACTGTGAAAGGAAGGGGTTAACATCCAGTGTGCT